ATTGTTGTTAAGAATAATACATTTTGGTAGGGCTTCTACTTTCCTTAGGCTCACCTCGTTGTAAAGGTTAAACAAACACTTTGAGAAGATGACATCATTGACTTACACTCCTTTCCCTTTTTTTACTTACTTATTCCTTTTTGGTCCGTATGCAGGCGGGTTGCTCCTGGTACATGTTCTGAATGGTTTCATGGTTTATTTTGTTTTACAGCGTATCAACCTTAATGCCAGTAAGATTTTTAGGATAGGTTCGTATAAATACAATAGTTTGTAGATCAGGTTTCATTCACGTATTTTTGTAAAGTCTTTTTCTTTTTGTCGAGAATCAAATATATTGCTGGTAATATTTTTTTGTGTGTTGTTGGTAATATTTTTTTTCAAAAATGTATTGCTGGTGATAGTGTTTTTTTTCAAAATTGTATTGCTGGTATTATTTGTTTTTTGGGTTTTTTTTTCAAAAATGTATTGCTGGTAATTTTTGTTTTGATTTTTTTGTTTTTTTTGTTTTTAAAAATGTATCGATGGTAATATTTGTTTTTTTTTCAAAAATGTAATCCTGGTAATACTTTTTCTTCAAAAATGTATTGCATGTAATATTTGTTTTTTCAAAAATGTATAGCTGCTAATATATTTTTTCCAAAAATGTATTGCTGGTAATATTTTTTCTTCAAAAATGTATTGCTAGTAATATTTTTTATTAAATGTATTGCAGGTAATATTTTTTCTTCAAAAATGTATTGCTGGTAATATTTGTTTTTTAAAAAATGTATTGCTGATAATATATTTTTCTTCAAAACTGTATTGCTGATAATATTTGTTTTTTTACAAAAATGTATTTCCGGTAATATTTTTTCCAAAGAAGTATTGCTGATATATTTACAATAAAAATCTATTTTTATATTTTCAGAGTGTTTTGACACAAATTTGAGCGCTATTTGCCCATAGTTGGGACCATAACAAGTGCTACCAAGCCGGATCAGAGTAGACCTGGGACCAAAAGAGGTAGTTCCACGTTCCTCAAAACCTTCCAATCAGAGACCTAGCTGCCGGATGTAGTTTATCGTCATACCCGGGACAGTATATGTTCTGGATTATTCTGATATCTTTCCCAAAGAAATTAACTTTTTTACATTGCAGCTCAAATATGTCTTTGTGTTATACCGTATAAAATGCTTTGAAATATGTGTATAGTCTTTTTTCTATTTGTATTGCTCAATCTCAAAGCATTCTAACCATAATGACAATTAAGTTTGGTTTGATTTGTTTTACGGCATATCAATCTCAATGGGTTATTTAATGCCGACAAGATTTTTATTGCTGGTAATATTTTCTTTTTCCATATATATATATATATAGTGCTGGTAATATTGTCTTTTTCAAAAATATACAGCTAGTAATGTTTCCAAAAAAAGTTTTGCTGCTATTAAAACCTAATTTTATACTCAAAGAGTTTTGACCTCTTTTGAGAGGGATTAACTATTTGCCCATATCTAGGACCCTGCTAGATGCTACACCCCGGTCAGGGTGGACCTGGGAACACCAGCAATTAAGAGGTGGTTGCACTCTCCTCAAAACCTCCTGATCAGAGGCCTTGCTGTCGGATGTAGTTTATCGTCATACCCAGGACGCGGATGTAGTTTATCGTCATACTCAGGACGGGTCAATTAAGTGCCATACGTCTCTTGGGATTTATAATTGACACGACAGAAGATTTTCCCGCAATAGAGTTTTTGTTTCTGCAGTAGACTGGTTGCCAGCTAAGTCTATAGAGTCGTTTTTACTATTCAACCCAAAGTCCGCGTGAGAAAAGATGGATTCATGCCTTTCCCAAAGGTATTTGCACTTAAGTGAATGTAATGAACTCGTCTGGAATTCGAACTCGGCTCTCCGCTTTCTCATTCGTAGCCGTTATCCACCACACAGCTATCTATATATTAGGTTGTCTAAAAGAACATTCATTAATTATTTTCAAGTGTTTTTTTTTTTTTCAAGGTAAGATATGTTGATCAAAATTTATTAATACCTTTTTTTATTTGTTGATGGACGTTTCTGATTGGTTGCTCGCTAATTCAAGATCAGCAGTAGCAATTCTTTATATGTCCGTTGTTGTGTGCTTGGCGGATTTTTGCTTCGCCTGCCGGAAAAGGTATTGTTTCGGTAGGGTTTCTTGGGAGAACAAGGATGAGGTTGAAAGACCAAACTGGAAACTTCTCATGACCCACAGTTATCACATCATTGATGGGTCGATCCTGCGCACCCGCTGGAGTGTATTTATAAGAAGCAAATTTTAGCTAGATTTTAAATCAATATGTAAATATTTTCAGCTCCTAATTTTTACTTAAATTAAGACACTTAGGGCTCTCATGCGGAATGAAGTTGCAAGAATTATAATTTCACTGTAACTTATCAAATACTTTGCGTAGTCGATGAAATAGAAGAATTTATAATATTGACGATACGGATTAATGTGAAAGAAAGCGATTTTTAAATAGAAATGTACAAAACAAAACTGAAAAACAAACATGAAAATTATTTCTTTACTAGTAATATCTGAAAATTTCTCGGCTTCCCCGTTTGAATTTTGTTTACTTTTTTTTCTCATTGAAATCAAACTGCATCTCTGATATGTCTTTTCCGTCTTTCCTCACGATAAAAAAATACGTAACAGTCCGTTATAATGATGTATTGGCGTTTCTTCCTTCCATTTTCTCACTGAAACCAAATAGCGTTTCTGATATGTTTTTTCCGTCTTTCCACGCGATCGAAACGGACAGTCAATTATAATGTGATGTTAATAGGGCGTGTCTTTCTTTCTTTAATTTTCTCACTGAAACCAAGTAGCGTCTTTGATATGTCTTTTCTGTATTTTCCGCACAATCAAAACGAAACAGTCCATTATTAATGCGGTATTGGCAGGGTCTTTCTTTTTTTCTTTCTTTCTTTTTCTCACTGAAACCAAGTAGCGTCTTTGATATGTCTTTTCCGTCTTTCCATGTGATCAAAACGGAATGACCCATTTTTTTTAAGTATTGGCAGGGTGTACTGACCGTGTTACTTAAGAAACTAACGAAGGGACAAGAAGAATTTTATTTCTTTATAATCATTATGCAATTGTATGTGCTTTATTTTTCTTTAGGTATTCCAGTCTGTTGGTCAGACCATTATAGAGCTTCTTACATCTGGAAATGTCAATATTGTACCATTCTTGTTTGATGGTTTCCCGGAGTTAATTTGCTTTTGAAAAAAAAAAAAAAACTCCTTTCCAACCATTTTGCGCTTAACAGTCGTTCATAAATTGTCTATTTGATATAAATCAGAATCCTGACACAGCCAGTATATACCGTTTACTGTCTTGTTTTTTTTGTTTGTTTGTTTTTTTTTTTTGTTGTTTTCGCATTACGACCACTTGTAAAATCTTAGAAACTTTCATGTGCTTTCTTTTCGTAAATAACTTGTGGATACTGACAAGCAATACTCTCTTTTCCTTTGGTGCAAAATTTTCTGTTTTTCTTCAGCAATTGAATCCCTTTCTATAAATTCACCGACCCCCACCTGCTGAAAATGTCACACCCGTTACATCGTACCAACTTCACCATTCTTTCCTTTTCTGGCCCACAGTTAGGACTGAACAGTTCTCAGAATCAACATCCAGGAGCATCATTCATAAACTTAAATCTAGACATATCAATCCATAGAACTCCTAACCCAAGTTGAACCACATCATCCATCTTCTACTTCTTCTATGTGACATATCCTTTCAGGATTTTGGCGATTATGAATCTCTACGATTTGGTTATAAATTGTTGTCTTTTCTATACTTATTTGACAACAGAGACTTTCTTGCAGAGATCTAGTTAGCAAGAAACATTGAACCAACACCACATTTATAATATTAAACGCCTACAATGTTAAAAATCTATATAGGTGAAACCTCCAAAAGTTCACATCTTTTCATTTTCTTTTCTTAAATCGCATTCTTCTCTATATGTTAAAAAATACTCGAAGAATTGCGTCAATCACTTTTCCTATGAATTCTGTTGTATAAATATTTCCTTCAGGGTCCCAACCAGAGACCCAAGTTAAGAAATAGCTTCATGACATTTTCCATGATCATTTTCGTAAAAAGAAAATTAAGATCACGCACATTTTACTTAGATAAAGCTCTTTGTATTGTGTTGGCTGTACTTGGGAGTAGAAAGTTTTGTATTTCTTTAAGGTGTGGGCTACCAGGGATCCCTTCAATGAGTCTATCGGAACATGTCCCAATCAACCCGAGGGCTCCAACTACAACTGGAATTATTGCTGTTCTCATGCGCCACATTTTTTGGAATTCCACTTCCGATTCTTTGTAATTTGATGGATTATTATTATTGTTGTTGTTGTTTCTCTCTTTGTCACTTTTTGTTTTCTCTTTATTTTCCATTATATTTTTTCTCATCTTTCCTTCTTCTTCTTCTTCTTCTTCTTCTTCTTCTCCTTCTTCTTCTTCTTCTTCTTCTTCTTCTTATAATAATAATAATAATTATTATTATTATTATTATTATTATAAATCAATTATATTTCATTCATTTCAGAATCGAATCAAAAATCAAAGTTTCCTTAAGCACATCTACCTCCAAAAATTGTGTTTAAATCTCATAGGGAGCTTATCCTTTATTTTCGGTCCCCCATTGCAAATTAATGGCTTGAGTAAAGTTAAAATGTTAAAAAAAACAACTAAATAATTTGGTTTGATTTGATTTATCAACCCATTACAGATTATTTAAAGCCAGAAAATATTTTAGATTTCAAGAATCTAATGAGATAATATCTATTAATGAGATAATAATAGCTTAGTGTTATAAGTCTTACTAATTAACCCTTAGCTGGGGGCAGAAGAGGTGGATTCTTATCTTTCCCAAGCATATTTACGCATAGGTGAATATAACGAACCCAACGGGAATTGGAAATCGTCTCTCCGATTCCTAGCCATTATCCATTGCACCATCCGCACATCCAAGCTTACAAAACCTAGTATTCCCAGGCGCTCAACCATCTAGATACTGACCACGTTCGACGGTGCTTAACTTCGGTAACCGTACGGGACCCGGTGTTTGAACGTGATATATCCGTAAGCCTTAAATATTTCAGATGAAGGTAAACTAAGACGTTAAAACGCAGGGATGCAGTATGTAAAGGTAATGGTAGGTGACACCACCATTCCTAGTTGTTATGAAAATGCCCAGACCTATATCAGTTATGCTTTTACATAAAGTGTATCAGAGGTTAAACTGCACATGACATGACGACATGAATTATTAGAATTCAAAAGGGATATGATAACCTTTATAAGGCAGATGATATATTCCATATAGGAAATTGTGGAAATATTTGATATAGCTAGATTTACGCTGTCACGTGTGTACCGGAAATACCCGATGGGAAACATTACTGTCCTTTGTGGATAGTGCAATGACCAGCCATTGATTGTGATTAAAGGATCCGGGTGGGGCTTTGCCAATCGTAACAAACTAGCGACTCTGCTCAAATCATATCTAAAATGAAAGAGGTACTAGACCCATGGCCAGCATAGCAGTATGTATTACTTTTCTTTATTTAGAAACATACGCAGTGTATAGGGAAATATTAACAAAGAAAATAAGCAAATAAATGAAGGATAAAAGGGGAAAAAGAAGAGGAGAAAATAGATGTGGTAGAAGAAGAAGAAGAAGAAGAAGAAGAAGAAGAAGAAGAAGAAGTGGGGAAATACGAAGAAGAAGAAAAGATAGACGAAAGAAAAGAAGCGGAATATGAAAACGAAGAAGAGAACAAAGATGAGGAAGAAGAGAAATAAGAAAAAGAAAAGGTCAAGGAAGAAAAAGGAGAGGAGGAAGAAAAAGGAGAAGCAAAAGAAGAAAAAGAGAAAGAGAAGAAAAAAGAAGACAAGGAGGAGGAGAAAGAAGCATCAGTAGTAGTAGTAAAGGGGTAAAAAGATGAAAAAGAAGACGAAGAAGCGGAGGAAGAAAAAGAAGAAGGAATAAGAAGAAGAGTCGTAGTAAAAACTAAGAAAAAGATGGAGATGAAGAGAGGAAAAAAGAAAAAAAGAAGAAAGAAAACGAGTAAAAGAAAGAAGTGAAGTAAAATTTCACAATGGTGAAGTACATGTTGAATGCATTGAAACGTCGAATTAGCGGTCGAAGGTCAATCTCTCAATATAGCATTGCTTCCGCTCAATCATATTTTGCGAAACTCTAACGGTAGATAAAGATTTGTAAAAACACCAGGATAATCCAACCACCTGATGAATATGGATGATAAGTAATGTTTTCTTTTTTTATTGCTGTTTTTATCAAGAACAAAAAAAAATTAGAGACCTTAATACAACCAGGCAGGATCTTCGATCAGAACATAGGAATGGAGGTCAGAATTTTGAATTGTGGATTGGTTCTGTTGCATAAAACTACTAAACAGGCAGAAGGAATTGAGTCAGGGGACAAGAAAAAAATGAACATGTCTCTCCGAAAGTGTCCAAAAGGCTACAATTAAGGGTAATGAAATCAAATATCGGTAAAAGCAGAAAAAGAAAAATTTTAGACTCTAGCCTCAAGCGTAGAGACTTGATTAAAATAATAAATACCTGTTTCAATTGTGACATACTCAGAACCCTTTTTAAACTGGACACGAAAAGAATAGAGAAAATTGAATCAGAAAACATGGCAGTTGCGTAGAATGCACAAAAACCTTACCCACAAAAGATGATGAAAAATGAGAGGTTATTATATAAATAGTCTCCATCTTGATTTGCTACCTTATAGCAATAATAGCTTTTAATTAAATATGGCAGAATGATGAAGGATATAGGTTTACAAAGCCAGAAGAAAGATCCAATCAATATATATCATGACTTTAAAAATGTAAATTTATCTTGATTAAAACATCCACAAGAATGGATTGATACAATCAACAATTGAGTGCCTACACAGTCTGTACCATTTCTCAATTATTAATTCGTCTGCTTTCGATTTTCGTTTTTTTTGGCCGTTTCAAGTGTTCCAGCTTTTATGGGCATGACAGTAACTTTCATACATGACTTATGGAGCATGTTGCTCAACCGCTTTCTTGAGAGCATGTATTTTATAATGCTCCATAAGTTTTCAAATGGGGTTGAGGTCAGGAGATTGGGGCGGCCATGTCATAACACTCACCTGCTTCTCATCAAAGTATTCCTTCATCAATTTTGATTTGTGACAGGTAGCATTATCCTGCATAAAAATGAGCTTGGTTTGGTCGATTTGCACCCTTTCAGCAGAAGGGAGCAGACAAGACTCTAAAAATTCTCTTGTACTGCTCACTCCTGAGGGTCTTTTCAATAGGTTTTAAGAAACCAGTTCCATGAAAAGAAAAGCATCCCAGAACATTATACTGAACGGATGCTTGACAGTACCTGCTAAATTCAAAAAGAGCTTTCAAGCTTCTTCTTTGGATTTTAGATCGCTTATCCTTTGAATTTAGCTCAACTTTCGTTTCATCGGAGAAGAGAACATTTAGCAAAAAAATCAGGTGAGTCACTTTTATCGAACAGCACTGTATATAGTCATTCACAGACAGACTGTTTTGCTGTATAACAGCTCCACAATGTGGCTAGACGTCCGATGGATTCAAGCCGGGGATATATATATATATATATATATATATATATATATATATATATATATGACAGGTGGTGAATTGTTTAGCGGGCTCGTAACGAGAAATCGGTGTACAGAGTGTGAATTCCAGTAAAGTTCGTTGCACTCACTTCCTGGCAAATGCTTTAGGCAAAGGTTTGAATCCATGACTTCTCCCTCTCCAACTCTAGGCTAAATATTAGGACAGACCGACTTTTTTTAGCCTTGGTTGGCAATCAGTCTACGAGTATAACTTTGAATTCAAAACGTTATGAAGGCCGGCTGAGGCAGATACCATTGGTCTTGCTACAAGACCGTGGATTCCACAATGACTCTATAATCTCAGATACGGTCGACCGACGATGTACTTTTATTATTGCTCTCGATGTATAATTATTATTGAATCGCAGATACGCAGATATGTGATTGTAAAAATGAATACCATAGAATGAACATTTAAGCAATCTGGATGCTTTAAAGAAAAGGGAAATAAAAAGGACATTTATACTTAAAAATCAGAAAGAGGTAGTTTTTATTTTCATTTATTTTTATTTTTTCAGTAAGGTTTTACAAGGCCCCGTGGACAGTCGTGGTAGAGTGTTACATTAGTAGGCAATTTGTACGAATAGGAGTGGAAGATAACTGCTGACTCTAGCCTTGAACAGTAGTAATCGGGGAAACATCCTCTTGGGAGTCGGTTCCAAAGAGTAGTGGTTCGCAGGAAGAATTTGTTCGATTAGAATTTGCAACTCACAGATGGAATACGGGGGAAATACGGGTGATTTGCTACTATGTAAGTGGCACGGTGTGTCATTGTCGTGAAGGTTTGAATTGGCTGTTATCAATTTCTGGGACAGATAATAAGGAAAGACGACTTAGAGAATTTAACACCCACAGGAAATACTGAAACTAAGAGAAACGGAGAGGAGACAAAGAGAAATGTTAAAGAATCAATTAAAGATGTGATCACTCATACCCTGAATTAAAGATGTGATCACTCATACCCTGAATTAAAGATGTGATCACTCATACCCTGAATTAAAGATGTGATCACTCATACCCTGAATTGTCACAGCACATAAAAGAGGAATATTGGTTTAAATCCCAAAAATCTAAAAAAACAGCTTGATTTTTTATTTTATTTATTAGTTCATTGCAAAAATTCGTGCCCAATTCGAAAAAAAAAAAATACATACTCACAAAATAAAAGAAAATTATAAGTACATCGTCTCCATTGTTCTTAACTGTCTCCCATTGTTCTACAAGGTTGTTAATGCCATTTTCGGAGAAACGTCGTGTTTTGTTTTTGTTTTTTTTTCTTTTTGTTTCTTTTTTTTTGTACGAAGTTTGTAATTGTTATGGGGTCCACCCCTTTTTCATACAAGTGGACTCGACCAGTGTGTACTTGGACTGCTGCCGTTAAATACCCAGAGTCAGTCAGAGTAGAGAGAGAGATAGAGATTGTGATTGAGTTGGAGGTAGAGTAATAGTGTGAGGTAACCGCTTGTCACAGTTACGAACACGTAGACTCTAAGGAAGTCCTACTTCGAGACTGGATTTACCAGACTGTATATATATATTATTATTGCTACTAACCACGTTTCTGGATCTACTAACCGTATTACCAATTGTATTATTGTGTAAATACATTTATTTGTTATATTTCATTCCTGCGTTTGTCATTCATTGGAGACCGGATTTCATCTCGGAATCCACAAGAGTAAAGTAGTTTTCGATTGAGTGAAATCAAGTTTTTTGTCATTTAAATTGTTCTGTAGACAACGGAACAGATTAAAATCCGAAGGAGCTAAGTCAGTAGAATACAGTGGATGCTGGAGGGTTTCCCATTTCAACTCTTGAAGCTTCTACAAGGTCTGTTTTGCATCAACCTTGCGTTGTCGTGATGAAAATGACATCTTTTCGATTTCTTGAACCCAAGTCTCTTTAAATGGTGAAAGGCAGTCGAAATATCGATTTTCAAGCTCTTAGCAATCTCTTCCTCCAAAATATTCGGTTTATTCTCGACGATGACAAGCAGGGCAATTTCATCTACTTCCAAAGTTCGCAGGGAGCGTTGCTGATCGTTATGGTAAAAAAAATCACCCTGAAGAAAAATTATCATTGTCACCAACCCCCTTACACATTACTATCACATCACATCTACTATTATCATATAAACCCACCATAATTATTAACGTAAACTACCCCCTCCCCCAGCATATTTAATACCACCATAAAAATAACCAATAAGGATTACAAACTAAAATTTCTACCAGTCACATATACACAGTCATAAAAAAAACAAAAAAATAAGCATATAAACAGCTTTATAATAATAACAATTTTTTTTTAAATAAATAAAAATTATAGCAATTTTTAACTATCATAATTTTACACAGAATACCCATTATCAAGATTTATACCAAAATAAATTAATATATATAACAAAATAAAATAAAACACCAACAATCACTTTTTAGTTCAAGCTACCGCCACAATAATTATATTTATTGTTTTTATACTTCTCCCACCACATTTACTAATCCCTTTTACCATTTTACAATAACTATTAGCTAGTTATATTATATTATCATTCTCTCCAATCCCTTACAACATTACTACCACATCAAATAACCAGCTTTAAGATAATAACAAATAAACCCTTTCTTTTTTAAAAATGAAAAATAATAGTAATTTTTACCTGTCATAATTTTACACAAACCCCACCAAACGTATATACATACATGCAAGGAAATATTATTCAGTGAAAAAAATAAAAAAATGCTCTGATTATTGACATGTATACATTCACAAGACCTTCACGAGAAATTTTCGCTACACTTCCAATCTTTGAATTTCAACATGCAAATGCGTATGTATAGACACAACACCACCCATATACATACATATGTCAAATCCAAAACTGTTCACATATGTTTATATATGTATGAGTCCCGACGAACATGCAAGTGTGTGTGTGTCTGCGTAACTCATCTGATGTACGGACATGCATCTATGTTTGCGTTAGCACGATGACATCACGACGACGATTCCCCCCCACTCCCATATTAACACCAATACACGCAATCTACATAAACCAATATTTTTTTAAAATTAATCAGTTTGTCTAACGATCGCAAAAGCATGAAACCCAGGGTCACAAACTCACATCAATCCAACCAATTATATTAGCTCTGTCTCTGATATTGAGCGCTTTCTAATAAATAAGCGCATATAATATATAAATAATTATACATATATATATATATATATATATATACACACACTTTTTCACATATATATATATATATATATATATATATATATATATATATATATAGTGTCATCCACAGACAGACTGTTTCGCAGCTCATCAGGAAACAAGGTTCGAAACC